AGGTGAAAGTACTGGACCAGACTCATAAGTAGTGACAAAAGTCGAGCTTGAAGTTCTATTTGTTAGATTCTTCTTCTTCTTTTTCTTCTTTTTTATAAGCAAATGCTTGTTCAATGTCGATTAATTCCTCTATTGGAGGTTATCACTCCATCTTTTGCGTGGTCGCCCGATACTTCTTCTACCTTTTGGTGATTTGTCCCTCGCTATTCTGACTAATCGGGTCTCTTCCATTCTGTTTATGTGTTCGTTCCATTCCTTTTTTCTGTTCAGTGTCCACTCATTTATTTCTGGTATATTGCATTTTCTTCTGATCTCTTTACTCCTCATTCGATCCCTCAGTGTGTTTCCTGTAATTCTCTTCAGTAAACGCATCTCCGCTGTTTCTAGTAGTTGCTGAGTTTTGGAGGTATCCGGTCTTGTCTCTTAAGTGTATGTCATTATTGGTCTTATTGTTGCTTTGTAGATTCTTGATTTCACGTCGGTATTAATGTGGGGATTGCGCTATATCGTGCTATTAAGACAACCTGCTATTTTATGAGCCTTTTGTTCTTGATTTTTCACTTCCTTCTCCACATCTCCGTAGCTAGACAGTGTAATTCCTAGGTAATTTGTCTCCATTACTTGCTCAATGCTGATACCGTCGATTTCTAGTTTACATCTAATTGGTTCTTTACTGATTACAATTGTTTTAGTTTTCTGTTTAGAGATCACCATATTAAAGTCCTTTGCCCTTGTGTTGAATTTATGGTTAGTCTTTGTAGATCGTCTTCATTGGATGCAATTAGGGCCGCATCATCTGCATAGCAGAATATTCTGATTTCTTTGTTCCCCATTTTGTATCCTCTTCCTTTATTAATAGTATCGATGATTTCATCCATGATTAGATTGAATAGCGTTGGACTAAGCGAGTCTCCTTGTCTTATTCCATTGCCCATATCTATTGGATCTGTAAGCTGGTCATCTATTCTGACTTCCATATTGTTGTTCTGGTAAATGTTCTCTATTGTTTTTATAACATTTAGTGGAATTTCTCTATCGTAAAGAAGGTGAATTACATCTTTAAACTTTCCTTTATCGAACGCTTTCTTCAGGTCTATTAAACATATGAATGCTGGTCTGTTATACTCTAGTGCTTTCTCGGTAATCTGTTTTATGATGAATACTGCATCTGTGCACGATCTTCCTGTGCGAAAACCCTGCTGTTCATCCGCTAAGGTAATTCTCTGATTTATTTGGCCTTGCAATCTTTTGGTTGTAAGCTCTGACTTCTTCTTTTCCATAATCGTTCTAAATAGGCATATTAGCTGCTGCAGCTATGGTCTCAACATCAACATTCATTTTTTTAATGCTCGCGTCAATATTGCGTCTTCCGGGAATTAACAAAGACTGAACAATTTACAGATGTGTCCAGATGTGTGGTCAGCTTGTGATGATACATTTGCAGATGCATCCGCAGACGCGTCTGCCGATGTGTAGTGGAGGCATATCACGTCGCTGAAGTGTCTTGCGTCAACCGCAAGTTGCAATTTACAATGTGTACAAAATTTTTTTAGTGTCGCATGTGTGCCCTTGCACTGCCTACAAATCTTTGTACCGGCAAATACACAAAAAATGTGAAACGCTTCACGATTTTGCATGTCATCCTTGCGCAGGGCCTTGTTAATCTTCTATGTATCAAATTTTAGTATATGTACTGCCGAAGCGAGTACTACAATTGTTAATTATTAAGGTTCATATATAAAAATCTTGACAATAATTTGATCACCCTGTATACAGAATATTCTCTTATAAAAATTCAGTCTCCTCGCCATTGTACATTAAATACAATCGAAGAAACAATAACTAAAGAAGTGAAACTATTGTTTACCTCATGCTTGTTTAGAACGCGCCTTTTGCATCTTTCGTTATGTACGTGATACAATGAAGAATGCTAAAAATAGAATTTATCTTGGTTTATTTTCTACTTTAACACAACTAAGCAGAAATCAATAAAAATTGAAAAGTTATCCGGGAAAACCAATAGTTAAATTTATTGAAAATAAGTTTCTATCCGGTAGAAACGATATCTGCTGATTTTTTTTGGACGGGAAAGTTATTGTTTCGGAGAATCAGCTGGACTATATTATAAGGACAATTAGATTTTAGTAGTTAGTCTGAAAAATATTCTAAATTATTATATTTTTTTAGTGTTATTGTTAGAGTTTAAAATAAATCAAAATAAACATTACGCTAGCAAAAAAAGACATCTCAGAGGAGTAAAAGGCATCATTAGGCTTTATATGCAAAGCAATGAAGGTGTTGGACTAAAAATGAATATCTGCTTGATCAATAAGAAAAAAAAATATTCAGAATAACCCAAAAAACAATAAAAATCGATCAACTAACCACGTACTAAATTGCAAACCGAAATATTTCTGTTTTAATCCCGTTCTAATAAGTGTATATATCTCATAAAATATTCTGATTACATAATTCTCAGACCGTTTTATTGCATATCAAATGTATTTACAGTTATCCATATTTGGTACTAAATCCTAGAATGGAAGTGAATGGGAAAATATCAAGTCAAGCACTATTTAATTTAGTAAATATTTTATGTATTGCAGAAAAGCAAACGACCTAAAGAAACATCCTAGAAAAAATTCGTTAAAAAATAATTAGTGCAGGTAAATGATGAGAGTTTATTATTAATTAAGGTAGTTATACTTTTTTACAAGAAGTATATTGTTAGTTATTATTATATGAGTATATTTGACGATTGTCTTTTTTTTACTTATACACATATTTGTAAAGTAAATACTTTTTCATCTTAGTATTCCTTGAATTTTGGCTTGCATACAAGTGCATTTGCCAGTACATTTTTTTGTATTATATTTGATCTTCATGATCATTAGGTCTACAACCCATAGTGGGTCTTGACCTGTTCTAGGATCAGCTTCTATTCCTTTCTATTCTTTGCCTTGATTTAACCAACTTCGTATTTATAACACTCGTAACTCGTCTTCCAGCTGATCCTTAAATGGTGCTCTGGGCATTCCTCTTCTTCTCACTCCATCCGGTCTTTGATGATAAATGTGGTTCAACGACTCATCTCGTTCACTCTCCATAAGTCATCGCAGCCTATTTATTTTGATGGACCTACCAACACTAGGTTTACTATAAAGGCGCTAAAGATCAAAATTAGAGCGACTACGTCATAATCCATTCTCCTGCACGCCTTTATAAATATGTCTAAGAATTTTACGTCCAAAACAGCCTGAACGTTCTTCATCGTTTTTGGCAGCCTTCACATTTCTGATGCATGGGCATGATAAGAGTTTAATATATTACTTTGGATAATTTCTAAGCCTAAATATACAAACTCTTTTACTTATTCGAAAGTATATACCGTTACATCTTTGGTTTTTGCTACTTGCTTGTTATATGCCACCTTCATATACTTAGCTTTACTAGTAATGAGGGTGAAGCCCATACTGGTATTTGCCTATTATTATTTCATGATATTCCGACAGTTGATCATAAAGAATGCCAATATTTTGTAGGCCCCGTTTAGGGGGTAGTAGTAATCATAAATCGTTTGTTCTCATTTCTTGTGAATAGGTACAAATATACCTACATTCCAATCTTCTTTTGAATCATGTTTTAAAAGCTCAGAAGGAATGGAACCTGCTCCAGAAGCTTTGTTTTCTTTCAATTTTTGTACTGCTTTAATGATTTCTTTATCTGTTGGGATGTTATCTTTCTCTCTTTTGTCTTCTATGCCTTCGAGCTGGATTTCTGCTTCTTGTAACTTCATCTCACTTATTATTTTTAGTCTCTCCTCCAAATTTTTTGCCGTTCTTTTTAATATCTGGTGCTGATCACTAATGATATCTCCTGTTCTGTTTCTAACTATTGATAATGAAGGTTAATTTTTTTCTGTTTTGGTTAACCTTCTTGTAAAATATGCTCATTTCCATTTGTATGTTACACTTCTGTAGTACTTTCAGTTGGTTTGCTATATGCTTCTTCTTCTTTCTTTGCAGTAATCGTTTTTCGTCTCATCTCAGCTGCCTATAATCTTTCTCTACTTGTCTCGTTCTTCGTCATTGGAGCCTTTTTCTTTGCGTTGTTTATGCACAGTCCTCATCGTACCAGTCCGACCTTATATTTTCACGCTTTTGTCTTCCAATCACTTCAGTTGCTGCCTCTTCCAATATATTTCTACACTGACTTCAATAGTTATTAATATCTTCATCTATGTTACGTGTAGAGTCCTCCAGCTCACCTTCCAGACTTTCCTTAAATTTCTTGGCTGTCGCAAAGTTTTTTTTACCAATTCTACGTTAAACCTTGTCTCTTTAACTCTCCTTACTTTCTTTGCATTGCAGATTTTAGCTATTATTTTCGTTTGGTCTAGGTAGTGGTCCGAGTCTATGTATGCCTCGCCTCTTGTACATACGTCAATTAAGTCGCAGAAATGTTTTGCGCCGACCACTGCATGGTCGATTCGATTTACTTTGTTTATGCAAAATGCAATACTGTTTGCACAATATTAAAGAATTAGATATGATCGTGTTGGTGACAATGTTGATAAAAACAATCCCTCTGGGGCAACGTCAGAGCACTTATGCTTATGCTTAAGATTTCTACTAAGTTTATTTCGTGACGCCATATTGTGGCGTTAATTCCGCGACACTCGCCTTAGAATTTTACTACAGAAAAAAAGTAATACAACGCAAGCCTTTGCTTCAAAAATGTTGATTTAAAAAATAATCATAATGTATGTGCGCAAATAACAGCTGAAGCCTTCTGATGATTAGTTAATGTTGGGTTGTCAATTACGCTATTAGCTAACATTCAACTACTTAAAGTTTATAAGATTTATATTTTAAATCTGTACGAAATTAAAATTGTTTAAACCTTTTAAATCTTTGATATGAGTTACAAAAAATTTTATATATACACTGATTTTATATCACTTTCTTCTATAGTTATATAAAAATTCAACTTGTACTTACTCATCACTTGTAAGACAAACATGCAGGCAAAACCAGCCCATATGGCAAGCAGTTGCCAAAAGCCGCTGTGATTGTTGTTCTTTTCCCTTGCAAGAACTTCGAAAAATACAACATAGAGCAGAGTTCCAGCTGCCATACCTTGAAGTACAATTGATGTCACATCTTCCGTACTGTCTTTTTCACTTAGAATTATTCCGGCGCCAATTCCTAAAAAAGACTAACATGTAGAAATTTACTTGGAATGAGTTATTGTTTATTTGGAATAAGCTATGGTATATTGATCTTTCAAAAGCATATGATTCTGTACCTGGAAGATTTTGTGGTAGATATTGGATTAAAAAAAGAATTTCCTGGTGAGTTACAGACGTTTTGGAAGGTATATTCGATGACATAAAAACTAGTGTTTGGTTTTGGTTATGATGATAATTAGAAGTCTGAAAGAGAATTAAAAAAAAAGTCTGGAAAAGTGAAGGCAGGTCCTTGAACAAAATTTGTATAAACAACAATCCAAAAAGTTTTTGTACAGATGAAGTTAACCTTCTTCTTTTATCTTTATAACACTGGATTAGTCTGCCTTCTTTCGCATCCTTCTCCTCTATTATCTTACATTAATCTTTCTAAGATCGATCTTCACATTCTACACCCCTCTGGTTCTTTTTCTCTTTTATTATTCTGTCTTTTCTCTTCTAAAAGTCTGCCTTCATGCAAAAGAGACGTTGTTTTTTACTCATAACATTCCGCTATCCCTTCTCTATCTTTCTCTCTCGCTGTGAATTAGCAGGTGACGGTCTGTTGTATATTTGTAAATAAAACTCCTTTTTTTCTTTACATCTACATCTACAAAAATATCACAGGAGGGAAAGGTAAATACGAAAGTAACATGAGTACACATTTTGAAAGAAAAGACATCCATCACTGCCAATGAAATGACCACGTTTTAATTAAAAATAAACATGCTAATATCATCTCAAATGTTGGAAGTTAGCAAGGAGCAGAGCTTATATACAACAAGAAATTCCAAAAGAATCTAGGTAAAAATGAAATGCAACCAAAGATACTAACCAAGAATTGACACAAATGGAGACAACGATAATGGAAACGACAGAAAAGACAGTAGGATAAATAAATAAGCAATCAGTAAAAATGGTTCTGATACACAAGGTATAAGGAAATAAGATGCTAGAGGAAAAGCTAAAGTACAAATGAATATACTGAATACAACAAAAACAAGGAAAAAGAAGCACAGAAGAATTATGAAGCAGCACAGAAAAAGGCAAAATAGACCTGCAGCTATTACAACGACTAAACAACCTAATAAAACGAATTAAAAAAAAGAAATGAGTGAAAAAAACTTCTGAAAAAAATAGAAGCTATCGACTTCCAGGCTTTATTTGTTCGACTTTTTACTAGACTATTTACCAGATTTGGAGAATCTGGTAAATAGTCTAGTAAAAAGAATATAATTTTCAAATCAAAATATTTCGAAAACGGTACACAGTATCGAGTTTTACCAAGAGTACCTTTTTCGTGTAAAATTTAATGACGTTTAAGTTTACCTGAAATTTTGATTAATAATTATACTCTTAAAAAAGTTATATTATGAGAATCAGATATAAAAACAAATTTATGGGATGTATCAGCTTTCAAAACATATTCGTATAAAATTTTATTACAATGTTGCCAGTAGTTTCGGCTAAAACGTAAAAAATGCGTAAAATTTTTTTTCTTCAATGCCCTGTATCTTGAAAACGGATGGCGTTACACACAAATTTTTTATTAAGCAAACCCCAATTATTTTTCAGTTTTTTACCTACCCTAGAGACGGGGTTACCTTTTTTTAAAACACCCTGTATATGATATGCTAGAGACTGATATCTATAAATTTAAATAAATAAAAATTAAAATCATTATCAATAGAAAAAAACTTACCCAAAGGCGTTACCACAGCGAAAGTACCAATATAAAGAAATACTAACAAAGTCCGTGTTTGAGACGTCACCAACTCCATCCCGACACAAAACGCTATAACTAACTTATGAGTGGCGATGGCAGCAAACAGATACCATACTTTTTCGACACTACCTTCTAGTCCAACAGCTAACCCTTCGAAGATAGCATGGAAGCTTAGAGCTATCACAACCAAGAATCCTCCAAAAGAGGCTTTACTAGTATCGTCGAAGTGATGGTGTTGATGATGATTGTGTTGGTGGAACTCCGGTTGAGCCTTTTCGAGGTTAACTGTGATCTGAGAATTAAGTAAATCCTTGTTGGACGTGCTAATACAACTTATATTACCGTCGTCTATTTTTATTAAGGACACTCTTGGTATCGTTACTTCTTGCTTGGAACTTTTTCTAACCGCTAACGATTTATGTAAAGCATTATTATTATTAATATGACTATGCTTCCTATCTAAATACAAATGTACAATTTCTTCTATAAGATAAACAAAGAAAAATCCTACACAAAATACTAGTTCAGCTAGAGGTATACCCGGACCTATGGTCGAGACGTATCCAGCTTTTTCTAGGTGCTGGAACCCTTGTCGAACTTCTGGCTGTAGATGCAGAAACGTCGTAAAAAGTAACACCCCGCCACCAAAACATAATAACAATGATATCGTTAAGTTTTTATCGCCATTTACTGTTTTAATAGATATCACTTTTGTTAGTTTTATCGGTAATAATCCTAAACAAAAAGACGCTAATCCTAATACCAGCATCGCTACTGTTTTGGCTACAATTAGATCACTATTGTCACTATTTCTTATTGCACTCTCCATCGTCATGGATTTTTATATCACAGCTTGTCACCAAGAGATTCTATTTTATGTTGCTACTAGCTTCCTTATGGATCCTTCATTTAGTAAGCTGCAACAAAAAATATTTATTTAGTATAGAAGTGTAATGTAAATTTTACGTAATTCATAAAATATATTATACAGGATGAGGTACTGAAAACATTGTAAATTTTAATTATTCGGTTTTTAAAATCAAATAGAATATAAATATGCTTTATTGTCATTGAAAATTGTATCATTTTATGGACAAAACTTAAAAAAAAGAAAAAAACAAAAACAATTAAAATTCCCCTACACTCTCCCTCATACACGCATTCTTAATTTTATCCAATTAAGCATTTTCATTTCCTCCACATGAATTCCTTATTTCTCATTCTTTTTAACTGGTCAGCATTCAGGTCCGTACCTCATAGTTGATATTATGGCAGTTTTATACAATTTTCCATTTATAGTTTATTTTTATGAACGAGAGAGTAATTAGCATAATTTTAACTGGCACCTCCGACCACTCCATGGGCGTGCTCAAGATTAATTGAAAAATTACTTTGAATAATTGTAAAAAATAAATGAATTATTTCAGTGTTATAAAGTGTTATGTGTATGTAAACAAAAGTGACCTCTTTTATCACACACTATATTAGAACTGACTGGCCTACATTAAAAAGAGTTTTAAAAAATTCAAGTTTTTTTTAATTTTTAAAAATTACTAAAGAGAAAAAGAGTTTTTAAAACCGTCTAAGGTATGTTAAATAGATGAATAAAAATATTAATATAAAACTTACAGCTACTTGTTACAAATCCAAATCAGATTCAGAAGATGAACTTTCAGAACCAAGATTTATAATAACTGGCTCGATCACTTTATCAGTAATATTGTCCAGCTTCCACATTTTTTCTTCTTCTTTATTAGTGTGATTTACTGCCTTTTCCCAGTTTTCAGGTTTTACATTATTTACGGCCTCCAAAAACAACTGTTTAACATCATGAATTTTAAAAGTGGTATTTTTTCTTGAAACTTCACTCTTTATCTGTGCCCATACCAGTTCAATCGGGTTTAATTCACAATAATATGGTGAGGATCTAAGTACTGTCATTCCACGATTTTTGGCAATTTCATCAATTTCGTATTTTTAAAAATTTCTTTATGAAGGGCACACAACGAATAAAGTTCCTTTCTTATAGATCCGGGATGGTACGTAATATTTTTTGAACTCAGCCAATTCTGCAAGTCTTTTTTTAACCACTTGGTTGTGGGCAGTCCTTCTATAAGTCTGGAGTGATAGCTTGCATTATCCATTACTATTACACAGTTCTTAGGAAGAAGATCTATCATTTGTTCGAACCATTCTTGAAAGACATCAGCGTTCATGTATTCATGGTAGTCACCGGTACGAGTTGATTCAAAAGTTAATAAACCACCTTCAACAAAACCGTCTGAACTGCCAATGTGTACTATTATCAGCCTGCGTCCCTTTCCTGATGGTGGGTTTAAACCAGTGGATAAGTTATTTACAAAAGCGTGCCTTTGACTTGTAACAGTTTCATCCTGCCAAAATTTATTTGGTGTATGACCCTCGTTGGTCCATATTTCATCAAGATAAAATATTTTTCTTTTTTGGTTTCTTATTTCCTTTATGGTTCTTAGAAAATGTCTTCTCCATATGACAATATCGCTTCTTTCTAATAAAATAGACTTTCTGGGATTCTTTTTCCAGCGGAAGCCTATTTCTTTTAAAAGTTTCCATAACGTACTTCGACTCATTTCTGGGTAATCCTTATCATCTCGAACTGAGACAAGAACTTTATCCAATGTTGGAAATTCTTGTTTAAAGAAGAATTCATGCACTTTCCGTCGAAGTCCTTCTTTAAAATAATATTCTATTTGAAATTTTGGTTTCCCTGAAGCATTACGTGGCATTTGAAAACTACCACATTTCTCTTCTTTAATAACTCTGTAAATCGTAGATTTCCCAACACCAAGTGTACTGCTAACTAACTCAACGGTCTCATCAACACTTTCACATAAACGTTTGTCTGTAAATGATTTAAAACAATAAAATATTAATGTTTTTTCATTAACTGTTAAAGGACCAATTTTTCGGCGTTTACACGGTACTTCCAAATTTTCCATAACACTAGTAAACACAATAAACTGCACCTTGCAACTGAAGCACCTACTTTTAGTGAACTGTTAAGAATTTTGAATACGCCACTTGGACCTTCCTACAAAATGGAAAAACCCACTATCACATTTTCTGTGGAATAAGTTTAGAAGGTAATTATCTAGTCAATTACTGTCGTAGATTCCTGGAATTAAAGAATTAAATGTTTGATTGTTGAAACCCTTACTTCGTGGAATGCACTCATTTCAGATAAAATAAAACGTTTTATTTTATCTAAAGAATTAAACTTTATTTTGCAAATAGGTAGGTACTTATTAAAGTTTTATTGGTTATATATAACCAATAAAATAAACATCTTACATTTCTTGCAAATTCATTAGTACCTGTTAACCTCCATCACTCCGACACTGGCAACCTTATTTAGGGATTAGTAACCCTCACAACTATTGTATTCTATTCTGCTCCAACCTTTATACCTGGTGGTCATACTCAATTTAAAATTGTTTTCCTATATACTTCTGTAAACTTGTTGACAAATATCTGTTTTTCATTGAGTCACCCGTATCAACAGTTTAGGGATTTGCATACATAATTTATTGTTTTATTACTCTCTCATACATAAAAATACACTATAATTTGGGAATATTTTAAAAATTTTACAGAATCAACGATACTAATCTTACTGTTATTAAGAAGCAAGGGTTGAAGGGCTCCTTTATAGGATAATGCTACTGTCTTATCCACGTTAAAAGATAGTAAATTAGAGCCGGACCAGGTTTTTATTTTAAGTAGGAGGTAATTTTTTAGGAGAATATACTCACCAAGAATAATTGGGTAGCACAAGCAACAGCGTAATTAATATTCAAGTCATCACATAGAATTTTTCTGCTTTTATTGTGCAGGTCTTCTAACAAATGAAGTAGGTTTTGAAAAAAAAGTTTCGTGGAAAAATCAGATGACCTATAAATGCAAAGATTTCTGTTATAAACCAATGAAAACTCAAAAAGGATTCATTCAACAGAAAGTCATAATTTATTATAGGAGAGAAATCATTATTTGTAGAAAGAATTAGGGTGACACCATGAGCTGAACTTGGAGGATCATACCTAGCAATGTGGTATACTGGAGCCACAAAAAAAGACTCAGTGGCTTCAAACCAGTGTTCGGTCACCGCAACTATCGTGGGGAAATCCGAATTTCTCTAGAAACAAAAATAAATCATCTGTTTTGTATCTTATAAAACGAATATTAATCAGAAGTTTCTAGTCCCACAGAACATGTCATATTATTTAAAAATTTCGTTTTGGAGAGGCAACGAAATAGTAGTTTCGGTGACATTTCCTTGATTTTTGTAGGTGAATAATTCTTTCCGAAGTGAGAAAGGACCTAAAAGCAGCAAGATTAGCTTCCACCTTAGTTGGACCAAATCCATAGGAATCGTTTAATTCTAGAAGGATTTTGCGTAGATCTTCAGTCTTAGTGGGGAGTCCGTCGGAAGTCAAAAAGAGTTTAATACTTCTATTGGTGAATCCTTCGTTACATACTAAAGCAGGTTGGTCGTGTAGAAAAGCAAGATGTAGTTTAATGGCTTTCAAGATATCCGGATTCCTTGTTAATCTTTCTAGAAGATATCGACTGTTCGAGTTATTGGTTAATATAACTCTTGGTGGAGTCAAAGGATCCAGCTTTATCGATGGTTCCAAAGTATCCTTCTTAATAAAGTTAATATGAGAATGGAAAGCATTTTTAGATTTGCAAATTTCAATGGCCTGCTTGTCTGTGACTATTTTTGTGTTTCCACTTCACTTTGGTTGTTGCTTAAAATATAAATTGGATTTTCCAAGCTAACGAGGCTTCTGATGTTCTTCGGACTCATATTTGTCTCAGACGAAGACGTTGGTTCGGAATATAAACATTCTGTAGACCATTTAATGTTTACACTAGGTGGCCAAATTTTCTTATTAAATTATTTCCTTATTTCCTTTATTTCAAATGGGAATTTTAATGTCTAAGAATACTTGTACAATGATTGCATCCTATCTCGAATTGTGTACTGATGTATAACAAATTTACTGGAAAGTTTCTTCTTCAAATAAAGTTTTTTAATACGATAGATTTAAATCTATAATTTGCTCCACAAAGGGCGAACTCCGTTAAGTTAGGCAAAATCCTTTTGGTGGTGACAGCAGGTCCAATTGTTTTTTTTATGTATTTCATTAAAAAAGATATCACAGATTTTTTCAGATATTTCCGTATGGTGCGTTGTCTCCAAAAAACCGAAAAACTGTTTTTTAGGGGTTTTTGGAGTTTTTCTAAATTTTATAGACTTGATATAGAGTCTTAGACTCTCAGAGAGTCAATATTAATATTATTAACCCACAAATTGCTCTTGGAACTAGATTTTGCAAAACTAGTTTTAACTCAAAAATCTTCAGCGTGAAGTTCGCAAAATTTTCTACGCATGGAACATTTAAAAACCGTTCCACGTTATTAATTATTATTTCATACAACGAACGAGCACATTTTTTAATTATAAATAAATAATGAATATGTAGCTTGATAAATAACAAAGACGATGCTAATCAGTCCATATTTTTTTTAATTTCCTCTTCTAGATATCAAGGTTAGTCCGCAAATAGTATACTTACCAAATATAAATTGACCTGTACTAATTAGACAACTGAATAGGAACAAAAGAATCTTCTAACGATATTGTGTACATTTATAAGTTGGAAATTATATTAATAAAAGTCGCGAGACTCAGTCGTAGCAATATTTCGTAAAATAGAGAAAGAAAAAACAGAATATTTGTTGATAAATTGCCCCCTATTTGATCCTAATGATGGGGGTAGGGGGTACATTGGTTATCCACGTACGAGCAAACAAATTTATTCTTATTCTAGTAGATAGACATATTATGGTCTAGTCTACTGGCCATAATACCTGG